TATAAAGCTGGAACAGTTTTTAATTCATAACCATCATTATCTGTTACACGATCAAGGATCTTACGAAAATAAACTTTTTTTAAAGATCACCTTATTTGCAACAACTATATTAAAGTTCTTTGGTTATGATATCCTGAACATAAACAATGTTATGTCCCTCTCAGTGTTTTTCTGTTGTCACTTTACATATCATAGTCAACTGACTGAGTACTCTGGTTCTGGCCATCACTCAAAAAAAGTTATAATTAGGTAGTATACAATTTCTTAGAAAGAATATATAATTCAAGCATTTTGAAGTATATTTTTTCAAATTTTTTTAGCTATATCTTCTCGATCAAATTCCAGAGGTGCATATTTCCTACACTAATTTTGGAATCCCACCTAAATTAAATTTAAGAATTTATTTTTAAAACAGATTTTAGTGGTCTCCTTGCTAAAAGCTCATAAATACTATTCCTTATATTATTTATATGTAAAAAAACCACAAGTCTCGAAAATCTCATTTTATTCAAATATGAATTGGTTAGGAAAATGGATTCCTTTTTAATTATCTTAAAAAAAAATTAATATTGCAATATTGCAAACGCATTTGCAAAATTCGCAATCCAACAAACTAATATAATTCCTTTCTTATAGAAATTTAAACTCAAGTAATTTTTTCTCTACAATTCATGTGCTGAATTTAAAACAGTATTTAATAAACAAAATCTAAGCCACAAATGCTACAGTTTATTCTCACAATCAAAACGTCTCACCTAAAACCAATATTTTGATGTCGTTAACAGGGTGTTCAACTTGAACTGAAACGCCTGCAACTTTAGATATCAACACGAAAGAAAGAAAGACTCTCCAGTCGAAAAGATATGCGCGTGTAGCGAAAGCAGTAGCCGTAGCAGAAGTCTGTGACTTAACGATTATAAAAGTTTCGATACACTCGGCTTGAGTTGTTCGCCCAGTTACGCCCCGAATTAAGTATGCCGCTAGCGATCCACGCAGGAAGATCATTCATTAAAATTAAACTTACGAGTAGTTCTTTTCATTTTCATCTTCCAGTTTATTTTGGTTTTTAAGTTGTCTTGTCTTTGTTTTCTTTAAACTTTGGATACATTTATACATTAGTACTGCTGTTGCTGTTACGAACACTGCTGCACACTGTTAAAACACAACAGTAGCGCATGGGTTCTGTTGTTTCTTATCAGCTCTGGCAGATCAATGCTTGGTTTGCTTCTGTGGTAGAAGAATTTGTGATCTTCAATCATGTTAACAGAAGTTGTATAGATTGTCAAACTTATGTTCTTTTTTTTGACATTTTTTGATGGTATTAACTTTCAGCCGGTTATTTTTTTATTTTCGTAATTTTTTTTTATTAATATTTTATGAATTTTGGCAATAAATATTTTTGTGCTTGTTCGGGTTTCTCAAGACTACAAAAGACTACTATATACTGAATAAAAATTTTATTCAGAATGCGTTTCGCACAACATTTTGACAAAAGAATTTTTGGAATAAATTTAACATTAACTTTTTTTTTTACTAATATTATATATTTTTTTTATATAAAAACATATAACAAATCTGAAAACTAAACAAAGAAATTTTATATTGAATTTCGTAATTGTTTTGCAGTTTCATTTTCAATGCGAATATGATTGGCGTATGAAGGCATTTTACTGATTTTTATTAGAACTCAAATTTAAACAAATTGCGCTGACACCAAAACAAAATTCATTAAATTTTTAAAAATAATAAAATTATATATAATATATATATTTTATGTGAATATAACAAACTACCGTTAACTTCTCATATGTGTTCTGAATTTTATTAAATTTTTTTTTGTTTTTTGTTGAATTTAATTTGCTTTTAATTTCTTTATATGAGTGAATTTTGTGAATTTTTTGATATGTTTTCTGTGGTATGAGTAGCTTTTTTATTAACAATTTTTGTCTGCCTAATGACAAAAGTCATTAATTTTATTTTATTCCAGAGTCGCGCTCTGTTTTTTTTTACTTCTGTTTTATAAAACAATTTATTTAAATTTTTTTTATATATAACTTATTTAAGTGCATTTTCTATTGCTGTTTTTCTTATGATTTGCGTGTTAATTTTATTTAATATTATTATTCAGAACTTTTTTTGAGTTCTTATTTTATAGCATTTTTACCAACAACTCCATATTTGAGCTTTGTTCATGCGCCATTAAAAAAATACACGCAAAAGAACGTAAAATTAAATAAAAATTATAAAAGTTTAAAAATAATAATTTTAACAATAATACTTAAAATGAGCCATAGGCACTGTAACCATAGAGGTTTGAAGAGTTTCTTTTGTTCTATAAGAACACGCAAAGAACCCAAACGATTGTAAAAATTGATATGGGAAACTAAAAAAACTGAAAACTAAACTAGATATTTGTTCAATGTGGCTTCCGATAATTAAACCAATTTAAAAAAAATGTACCCAAGTTTCGAAAAATACTTTTGAAAAATAAATATGTTTATTTTTTTTTGGTTATTTGTTGACTTCATAATAAATAAACCTAAATAAACAAAAGCAAGGTAGTAGCTAGCAGTTAACTTGACATTGACAATTAAATTTAACATTAACACTGTTTTCATTTAGACAATAACAAATAGATAGAATATATATATATAGATAGTTAATATATATACACATAGTTGAAAAATATTTCATAGAAAAAACGTATTAGTAACAGAAAAACAAAAAAATTACTAATAGTTTTAACTTAAGCATACTTCCTAATTAACAGTTATTTAATATATAAATATAAACTTAAATATATTTATTTCAAATTTGTTCCCATTCTTTAAATATTTTTCTATTAAATCATTATTCAAACTTAACTATTGGTTAACATGAAAACAAAACAAAACAAAATCCAAATTATATGACCTAAGGTCACTTATGTTATCAATTAAAATTAATCGCTTAGAACGCTTTAAACAATCTTTAAGCTACAAAAAAAACAGAAAATCTTCAAAACTATTTAAAATACTAAAATTATCTTAGCTTTGAGAACTTAATTCTCATAATAATTACTCTTGTTGCATTGTTTTATTTCTGAAACAGTAAATCCCACATGATTTTTTTTTTGTAAAAACTAAAGCAATTAACATAACCAATAATTAAATAATTTTCATATTTAAGTAAATTATTTACTAATGATGGTGGCGTCTTTTAAACAAAATAATATGTTGAGCTCAAGGTAACACCAAAAATTTTTTACGCTTCCTTATAAAGCCTACTATTTTAGATAATTCGTAGAGCCTGACCTTCCCATGCGTAATTCGTTTCCTTTCTAACATATCATATATGTAATTAGTAGAACAGCAAAGAAATAATTGACACACTTTTATTTTAACAGTAATTGATGTAAAAAATTATCAAGCTTCTAATAAAATATGATAAATTTTTTTTCAAAAACGTTTTTATTTTTAAAAGTATTTGAAATTTAATGGTTTAAGAATAAAAATTTTAAACATTTATAAGCTTTAAATTTAAATCCAATTAAATTTATAATTTAAACATTAATTTAAATAATTATTTGTTACAATTGGTAATATGGATTGCGGGGCACAATGACTGAAGAAAATTTCAGATCTAAATGCAGACAGAAACTATATTTGAACATATCTCGCCGCCTATAAATTAATACTAAAGCATATTATTCAAGAAACGAACAAGTCTTGGAAAGAATGACTCATGCGATCTGTATTGTTGCCGATCCTAGATAGCAAAAATCTAGAGAGAGAAAAAATCGACTCCACTAACTCTATTATTGACAAATAAATTATCCTTTATCAATAAATGTGTCTGTATCTAAACAGATAGATGTGTTTCGTTATGCTAAGTAAATATGGGGTTACCTTTTTGAGATCAAAAGGTAATGTAAATAGAATATATTTGTGATTAACTCTTCGATTAAATTTGAATGCAACCCTTAAATTTAAATAATTTAATAATATATTGTTTGAATTTTGTCATTTGGTTATAATTATCACATTATATATATCATCGACAGGGCCTCTAAAGTTCTGTACTGCATCCTTTTTGCAATTATTTTCAATACCTTGGCAATTGGTCGGCTATAACTTTCATTATTTTTGAAAGCATCTAGAATTTGAAAGTTGTGCGTATAAGACGATTTGTTCCATAACCCCACAAATACAATCCAATGAAGTTGTTTACATACTGAAACAAAACGGAAACAAAACTACAACACAAAACCTGTTTTAGCTACTTTTTTAGTCAGTAATTAGTGGTTTGTATAGTGCTTTTTCTTAGTAGATTAAACTATATCTGCTTAAGCAGTTTCTCATTCACACCGATAATTAATTCGCACGTTACTGACAATGCAACCAATACACAAAAAAAGACTGATCTCGTTAAAAATAAAACACAGTGGACGAAATTTTAACATTCTTGTTACTTTATACAAAATATGAGAGATATAAGAGATGAAAATCAAATTATTTGATTAATTTAAATATATGTATGTATGTTATGTGTATTAAATTTACATTAAAATAAATTAAGTCATAATTAATACCACCTTCTCTAATCAAGTCAATATACATATGGTAATCAAATTAAAATTAGTTTGTTTCCATTGCCATAAGTTGATTTATGCATGTAAATTAGAAAGTCCTTTGAAAGTTCTAGAAGAGCAGCTTTTATTTGTTTACATTTCAATTGTTAGCAGATAATATTTAGTTTTATTATAATATGTATATTTATTTATAATGTATAATATTTACTTATGAAAAACAAACATTTTAAAAAATATGTACCTCTTGTTTGTTTAACTTGTTTGTTTTGTGGTTCATTTATATTTTATTTAATGTGCCAAATATGTCAAAGTTCAATAATTTTCATTTTGGAAAACATATTTTGCATTGGACATTTTTAGTATAATTCCACTAGATTTATTCTTAACTAAGTTAAAATTCGAAAGCTCTTTAATGGTTAATCAAACTTCATTAATCACCTAAATCAAAACCTAAATTAAGATAAAAAGTTTATTATAAATATTATAAATAAACCTCTCTATAAATTTTCTCTTTATAAACTTTTGAAACCTCTCTATAAATAAACTAATAAATAAATTAATATAAAGCTAAATAAGTAAATGGAAACAAATTAAATAATTGAATACAGTGGTAAATAATTATCTATATTAAATGTATTGAATGGTATTGTATGGTTTGAGATTTTGGGAAAAAATCTAAATTTACTTATAGAATACTCTGATAAGTACTCACACCTTTATGTGTACTTTTAATTACATTTCTTCTAATCTAGACCACACAAACTAATTTAAGTCATATATCATTCGAGGCTACCATGATTAATTAGTTTAATATATGGAATTATGGAACAAGCAGAGGTAAAACACAGCTGTGCCTTATATTGATTATTAAAATCGAAAGAAATAATGATCAGTTGCCCATTGGTGAACTCCTACAATATTAAATATTAATTTCAGTATGCCTTGAAAAACAAAAACAAAAACAAAAACAAAAACAAATCATTGATCATTATTTTTGCCGTTATTTTGTTTTGTGGATCATTTTAAGATCATTAATTGAAAATGTTGTCAAAAACTCGTTTAACAAAGTTTGTTGACTCTTTTCAATACGAAAAAATAAACGTGTTCGGTCGAATTTCATAAACAAACTAAATTCTTCATTGGCACAAAAAAATATATAATGTTTTGTGCTGGCTAAACGTGCAAATGTGTACGCAATACTTGGCTTTGTAGTGGCAATGTATGTGTGATTATTTTTAGTCAAAAAAAAAAAATTGAAGACACTACAAAAATAGATAGAAAATTATGGATGTTTCTTGATTAGCAAGTTTTGATAAAGTCTTGTTAGATTTTTTTTGTTGTTAAAAAAGTAAATATTTCACAATAACATAAATTAGACATTTGATTACTTTTTTTTATAGACAATTTGCATGCTGCAGGATAACTGCCCGGCTAGCTCAGTCGGTAGAGCATGAGACTCTTAATCTCAGGGTCGTGGGTTCGAGCCCCACGTTGGGCGAAGTTTTTTTTATTTTTAAAATTCTATAAATTTTTCTTAAAGTATACTTCATCAGTTTAAAGAATAAACACTTTACTAATATATTTTAAATAATTAAGAATATAATTAAGTTTGGCTAAAATACAATCAAAATATGTAACACAGAAACTATCAATTGAATTATTTTTTGTCGTTATTTTTTGTTTTTGCATCAAAAGTCACAGTGTGAGATTTGAACCCATTAAAAGCACCTCTTGGGAATGAACTAAGTTGAATTATTAATTCCTATAATTTTGTTTCTTTTTACTTTATAATATACAATTCGATAGAAGTTGAAGATTCGTTAAATTGCTGAGCACAAGACTACAGAGAACAATATTGCAAATATTGATTAGTTTCTTCAAACTAATAAAAAAATGTAGAACCAATTATTTTTAAAATAATAGAGTCTGAGACATGGCCATTTAAAAATTCATCCAAAATACAAATACTCGATCCCCCAGAGACCGTAACTTCTAGCAAAACAATAACCATTTCTCCCTAGAAATGGTTGAACCAATTATTTTTAAAATAATAGAGTCTGAGGTCTATGACCATTTGAAAATTCATCCAAAATACAAATACTCAAACCCCCAGAGGCTGTAACTTCCTGCAAAACAATAACCATTTCTCCCTAGATATGGTTTATTTTCTTATCAGACATGATCATAGAAAACTTTCAGCTAAATTGAAAGTGACAGCACAGTTCTATTTATTAAATAATGACATAAATGCAAAAAATGTGTACAAAAAAAAACAAAAAAATTGCAACTAAAACGATGTTGTTTTATGCATGAGTTTTAAACAAAAACGTACTGTAAACTGAATAAATATTCAGGGTGTTTTGCCAAAGCCCTTTAAGGTTTCAATATGTTTCATAAGGATTGGTACCAAATTTTTTATTTAAAAAATACTGTCGTTAAAAGTGAAAATGGAATGTTTTACAGACCGGTAGTGCTAATGGTAGGGACCGACAGCTGAAAAACTCTGAGCTGATGTATTAATAAAATGCAATTGTCTTAGTACATCAAATAATACTTGAACCGTTAGAAACGACGAACATTTCGATATTCTAATATATATATATCATTTGTCTATTGTCTGTACCCCTTTTTTTTCCTCTTGGTGTGTTTATTTCGGCACTACTAGAAAAATATGGCAATTTATCAAACCTTTATTATAAAATCTGTATCTTTTTTTCCTCTCTCTCTATATTTCTCTCTCTTTCTCTATCTCTTTCTGTCTGGGTGAGCTTAATTAGTATGCACTAGAAGAATCTAACAATCTACCACACTTTTAAAACCATCTTTAAAAGACCATCTTTTTTGCTAGATAGCTTAGACGTTCTAACCTTTTTGCGTTTAATAATTATATCTCTAGAAAGATCCCCATATATATCTAAGTTTTTAACATATAGGAGAATATTAAATATCTTCCTTAAGGTGATGTTTTCAAAATTTTGAAATTCCTAAAACGTGGATTCAAAAACTCTGTATTATCAAAGGCGACAAAAATAACTCTATTTATGGTTTAACTTTTTGTGTAACTCGTGGATTGTAATGCTTGAACACTTCGAAGTACACTAATACCTCAATTTGTGTTCATTTGAATTACGTCGCTTGGTATAAGTCTTAATTAAAGACGGAAATCGAAGTATTACTGTATTAGTTTTAACAATATATACAAAATTTAGCATATTCACATAATTGTAATCGTAATTTTTACAATTTAGTTTACTATGTAAATAGCATTTAACTGGACAGTGCAACTAAACACTAAACTAAACACTAAACTATTCATCAGATTGAATTATGAAAAATTAAAACTATTTGTGTATAAAAGGTACATCAACTAAATGTAACTCCGACTATTTTTAATGACGGATTTAATTATTTTATTAAATAATATTTGGGGTTTTTATTTACACTTTGGTATATGTAATTATACAATAGCTTTATTGCCTTGGCCTTTCTGTTATCAATACACATTCTCAAAGATATAAAAAAATTATAGTCTGATCGCGACATTCGCAGTTTCAAAATCTATAAAAATATAATGTCTTATCGATTGAGTGCACTGAACCTACACTTTCAGATGCAGAATATAAAATTACATCAGTCACTGAAAACACCTAAACATTAACATTAATTACATCAAATTAAAATCACTGAAATGATTAAGTAGTTAAACGTTTGTGTTTGTGTACTAATAAAATTTTTAATAAAATATTTTATGACAGTTTCGTAGCTACTTTTGTTATTTGATTTTAGAGTTTCGAGTTTCGAGTTTCGAGTCGTTTACGCATTTTGATGAGCCCAAATTTCATAGTTTCATTAGAGAGTTCAGCTGATAATGCGAAGTATATAGTATGCATAAATTGTACATAATGCATATTAAATACTTTCACTTTTAGTTTTGTTTATAAGACAAGAAAATTTTATTGTTTATTTTTTTCTGTTTATTTTTTGTCGCAGTTGTAGCTTATATCAGCGATGCAAGACGCATGATCAGATTTGTTTACAAAAAAGAAATGCTACATAGGAGAAAATACTTAAAACGTGTTAAACGGAAAAGAGTTAACCAAATTAGTTATTTTATATATTGTGGATATTGTGAATATAGTAATGTAATTTTTTTGAATAAGGAAGTTAAATAACAGATGCCAAAACTGCAAAGTAAGCCCTAAGTCTTATTTTGATTATAAAAGCTCATAGTTGCAAGCGTGAATAATTTTCTTATTTAGTGCCAATGCCACTAGGTTCATGGCTTTTGTTTAGTTTGATATGCATTTTAGTTACAGTATCGTTGTTAAACAAACTGCTTAATTAGATATTTTTAACATAATTGCATTTCATTTAAATTATTGCAACAAATATGTACATCGCTTTCAAATTATTAAAAAATTTTTAGATAAATTTTATATAGATACATATATAACTTTTTATAGAAATTCGACTTTAAATTGCATTACGCAGCATTAATAGAAATTTTTAACGCCTTTGTACTTTTAAGTGTTTTGTTAGCCTTTAGTTGCTAAGATACTTTATTTACTATTACAATCGTTGCCTTAGATTTCTAACTTATCTTCAGTTAATTCCAATTTTATGTATATTTTTTTTTTACTTTATTACTCTAACATTTTGTTAGAAATGCAACTTTTTTTTTAAGTTAGCATTGTATAAGGTAAATTAACTGGTATTCAAATTGCCATTGAAATTGTTCAATAAAAGTACTGAAATTTTCACTTTTCACTTAGTTACGCGTGAGTAGCTTAAATGCAGCTAAGAAAAACGTGATGACATGCATTTGAAAAATATACAAAATTTGAGATATGTTAACCCATAATCATAATAACAACTCAAACAATTCATTTAATTAGAAAACGAAAGCGATAAATAACTTGGGAACCTTTTTTTCTTGATATCAGCACTGAAAGAAATTTTAATTTTATGCAGTCAACGACTCTATTGATTGCAATTTAAAATTATTTTTATAGCTTTAAGCTGAATAGCAACATTTCCGCCGAATTAAAAATATTATTTAAATAAATTTAAATGATAAATTCATACCAGTTGATGCATATTAAGTAAAAGTGACATTTTGTGTGGGTATAAATAATCAGTTTTCATCGATAAGTTTTTATTGTACAAGCATCTTCCTTCTCCAACATCTTTCTATAAAACTGTGAATATAAATAATCAATCATTTTTTTTTTCACTTTTTTATTATATCAATTCATATTAACACGTATGTCTCTTATTTTCCAACTGCATTTTTATGGACTTCATTTGCTAATTTCTTAATATCAATTATTATAAATAACAAATTTACTATAGCAATTTTACCATATCTATTTATCTATTTACTTAGTTGATGTTAATAACCTCTCTAGTTTTCGCTCTGACAAAACGCTTATCTTCAAACACCTATGCTT